AAAAAAAAAAAACAACAAAACTGTCAGGTGCAAAATCCTCAACGATATGGTGCGGCTTCACAAAGTTCTTCTACCTTTTTATAGCAATTTTGTGCTGTTTTATCAACATTATAAAGCACTTTTATATGTATACTTTCTTTTTTTTTTTCTTGATATTTTTTTAAAAAAAGATATTGGTTCTTGTGAATTGTTTTTTTTTTTGTTTGTTTTTGTTTAGTTTTATGATGTGAACTGATCTACCCTCGTGTAATACTTTTTGTATACAGTAGGGCTGTGCCAATAGAAGTGGAAAGAATGGATTTTGATATGTGAAACCCATGTTATTTGACTCGGTGTACAGTCAGTAGATGGATTGACATTTGTAACCCCCCTTTCCCTTTCTTCTTTCATCCGTATTGGTCTCTGCTTGGAAGCGGTGACTCGGTATGTTTTCACCCAAAATTTCAAAGAATGTCTATCTCTATTAAGATTGTAAGATTTAAGACAGAGTTAAAGCGCTGTGTCGTCTGCTTTGTATTATATTTTTTGTCCCTTGTGAAGGACAGTCGGGCCTCTCTGCCGCTTCACCGATTAATCGTCATGTTGGCAACAATTTTTTGAAGATCCAAAATTTGGATTACGTTTCACCAAACTAAATTCTCTTGATTGTAACCTCTAAGCTAATTATGGAGGATTTAGGCTGCGGTTTTGTCAAAACGAAAAACTGACACAGTGTTCGGCGACGACGTCGGCACTCAAAGAGTAAAAAGAGGGTAATAAAAACAGATGTATATCATATTTAAGATTCTAAATTTGAAAATTTACTTTCTTAATGTAATTAATTTCTTAAGTGACCTTATTGCCATCATTTTTGTCCACACGCGAGGCTCAATATGAGCTTTGATATTTTAACCAGATGTTATTCCCCCACTTCCTCCTATAATACTTAACATCCCCTCACGTTTGTACATTTTGTACATAGAGTTTTTTCCGGTTGCTGTTTGTTTTTTTGTCTTTTTTTTTTTTTTTTTTTTATATGAGATGTACAAATATAATTCTTTGCTAATATATATCATCAAATTAGAAATCTTAGGTTAAAAATGAAAAAAATAAAAAATCAAGTGACAAATTTGATTCAAAACTTTGCTTTAAGCATTAGATTGTAGGGAGACTCCAAGTCAAACGTTTTATTTTTTTTGTTTTGTTTTTTTCATTCTGATTTGTTTGTGTC